ATCATTTGGCACAGGAGCTTTACAGATATAAATTACAATGGCAGCTCTAGGACAAAGTACGCAGGAGGAGAAGCATGGCAAAGTTGAGAAGACTTGGATGGGAAACGAATCACAATAGTGTGCATTGCATTGGCAATGCACATTGACTAATAAAAACTAGCAAATCCACTGTAAAAACTAATTAAAACTGAATTTAAAAAGTCACAATGAAATAAAACTAAGCTATAATGAAAAATCCAAAACTATTATAACATCGCTGCACACTTAAAACTGCTGGGCTGTTTGGGTCGTAGTAGAGGTGTAACGATAAATTAATCTGTTGATGAATCAATTAAAAGATTGATCAATGACATGGAGGCAAAACAACCATGGATCCATATCATCATACACACATCTAACAGTGATTGTGTTAAATTGCATTATATTGTTTAGTGATATCGAGAAGCATCGTGTCGTCTTACAAATCGATGTCGTGATAAAGCTGCTCTTTGTTCCTAGGTTGACTTGGTTTGACCAGTTTGACCAGTTTGACCAACCATCAATCTTCAGTCCAACATTTCAGAGCTGAGGTTGACCAAACTGGACCTCATCATGATGTGATGACTCGATTCTTGGCTACTTTAATTTGATCCAGACCAGGGGTGTCAAAATTAAAAACTTGGTCCAAGCCAAGAGCAAACCTTGGTCCATATTCATTGAACATAATAATAATAATAATAATAATAATAATAATAATAATAATAATAATAATAATAATAATAATAATAATAATAATAATAATAACACCGAAGTGGTTTGAAATGTAAACTTGTAGAATTATAAATAACAATGTTTCATTTGATGCTGGATCCAAACCTAAAGATCACAGAAATAGTTCAAATAATTTTTCTTGGCTTTAAAACTGTCTTGAGAAGACCGAACTTAGAACAAGCTTCATTTGTTTTATGCAAAAAGAGAAGAGATCAAATTATTTCACATTTAAAATATCATTTTTTGGGCCAGTTATGTTAGAGAGGGCCAGATTTGGACCGCAGGCCTCGAGTTTGACACGTGATGCAGACTGAGTTTGATTTCCTTAAATTAACACTAGTTTTTATTAACTGGTAGTTTTAAGTCAATACGTTGGTCATTTTAACCAAGTTTGAGTAAAACTTAATCTTTAAATTAGACCCAGTTCTGGATGTTGACGACTCAGCAGTTTTTAGTGTGTAGTTGAGGGTTCAGTTGAAAAATGACTCATCATAAATCCACCGTGTGTCTCTGTGGTTCATCAGTTCATCAATTTAAAACAGAAGTTGTAACTCTGACCGAACATCTCGGTGAAAAACTGCAGCGTCATGGTTGGAGTGTAAATTCTGCTCTGTCAGTGTTTCAGAGACTCACGTGTTTCAGGCTAATATTAGTCATCAAATCGTGATGCTGCAGTTTAACTTGTAGATTTCTCAAAGACAGCAGTTTTACTTCCACACAAGAATAAAAATAAAGTTTTACGTAAAAGTTGAGATTCCTGAAATACAGAAGTGAAACTGCTGAGTCATTGTAGACGGAATGCTAGAAAACTGGAAGGTTTTCAAAGTCATGAAAACCGGTCCAAAAAGTGAAAACAATCTTAATTTGTTTCTTACGTATATTGATGGTTAACGTGCCCTTTTAGTAAAATTTGTAGCGACAATGTTTTTTTGTAAAACCAAAAATAAACAAAGTTTGTAAGGCAGAGCTGTTTGAGATGGAAAAGTCTGATAATTTATAAATGTTACTACATTTCTAATTCCCTTTGGAATCAATAAAATATTTTTAATTGTTTTGAATGTTCAGATTTGTTGAATAAACTGTGCAGATACTAGTGTTTTGTTTACATTGAGTGCAGACCCACATTTCAGAATTACATATTTATAAAATGATTGAAGTTCAGGATAAACTTTTTTATATTTTGCTTTCAGAAAAAAAATAATAAAATGTTGTACATCAAATAAGACTTTGTAAAGGATAAATTAAAATTAATTTAATCTTTTAAATACAGATTTTACAGTAACATTTTGATCAGACTTTAAAAACAAATATTTAAAAGTTGAAGAACATTTTTTATAATAATAATAAATAGAAATAATAATTTAAATTGTATAAATAGTAAACAGATTTCTGAATGTGTCTCAGATTCATGTATTTTTTATAAAACGAACTTTTATTAAAGATTAAAGAGTTTGTGTGTCTGAAACTCCAGCAGTTGTTAAATGTTTCTGTTACAGAAACATTTTTACACACTGAGCGTTATGAAAACTGCAGGAGGTCAAAGGTCAGCTGACGTTCAGAGCATCTTTAGTGTTTTATTGTTCGGTGAGTTTAATTATTGTCAGAGTTTGAACCTGAACTCACAGGAAAACTCTTTACTTTAATCTGAACTTTCTACGAATCTAAATTCTTCACATAATTTATAAAACTAACCGTATTTAAAGTCATGTTATTTTCTTCCTCATTATTCCTCGTGGTCTTTGTTTTGTTTTTGGTTTATTTAAAAAAATAAAACGTTATGTAACTTTATTTGATCAAAGGACAGTTTGTTCTGCTGAAGCAGTTTATAATCTACGTTAAGATAAACTCTGAATAAATACATATAATCCCACTCATTCAGACACTTATTGTTTTGTTTTCTGCAGAATAAAATAAATAAAATAATAAAACTACTTTATTTATCATGTAGCTCGATGTCACAAACTGATGGAAGTTTTTATGTTTAAAGATTAAAAAAATCAAGTCTGAACTGTTGGAGCTCAGATTGTTTAAGGATGACTCTCAGCTACTACCACAACATATTTTAGATCAATATCTGTGAATTTGAAGAGTTCTGTTATCAAATGTTCCTTTCTCAAAGATTCATTAAAACCTGTCCAGTTTGTGAGATATTTTGCTAACAGACACTTACGTCAGGCTCTCTCCTCCTCAGTGGGATCATGAAACCAGGTCTGAACGCCATCATGGGGGCGACAGGAAGTGGAAAGTCCTCGTGAGTTCTGAAGATATGAAAACATTTTTAATTGTTTTTTATTTTAAAAAACGAACAAACATTTCAACATAAACAGATGGATGACATCATCCTAACAGATGATACTTTTTAAACTTTGTGTTCCGCAATAAACTTTCTAAAATAAGTCAGACTTTTCATGTCTGTTTTGTTGTTGTTTTCTCAGATTCTTGGACATCCTCGCAGCCAGAAAAGATCCTGCAGGTCTGACAGGAGAAGTCCTGATCGATGGAGCTCATCAGCCTCCAAACTTCAAGTGTCTGTCTGGATATGTGGTGCAGGTGGGTGAAGCAGACAGGAAGTTAGAGCCGCAGACAGGAAGTTAAAGCTGCAGACAGGAAGTTAAAGCTGCAGACAGGAAGTTAAAGCCATAGACAGGAAGTTAGAGCTGCAGACAGGAAGTTAAAGCCATAGACAGGAAGTTAAAGCTGCAGACAGGAAGTCAGAGCTGCAGACAGGAAGTCAGAGCTGCAGACAGGAAGTTAGAGCCGCAGACAGGAAGTTAAAGCTGCAGACAGGAAGTTAAAGCTGCAGACAGGAAGTTAAAGCTGCAGACAGGAAGTTAAAGCTGCAGACAAGAAGTTAAAGCTGCAGACGGGAAGTTAAAGCGATAGACGGGAAGTTAAAGCGATAGACAGGAAGTTAAAGCCGCAGACAGGAAGTTAAAGCCATAGACAGGAAGTTAAAGCCATAGACAGGAAGTTAAAGCCATAGACAGGAAGTTAAAGCCGCAGACAGGAAGTTAAAGCCGCAGACAGGAAGTTAAAGCCGCAGACAGGAAGTTAAAGCCATAGACAGGAAGTTAAAGCCATAGACAGGAAGTTAAAGCCGCAGACAGGAAGTTAAAGCCATAGACAGGAAGTTAAAGCCATAGACAAGAAGTTAAAGCTGCAGACAGGGGCTGTGTCTCAGTTCAGGGGCTGGGTCCTCATGAGTGAGCATTTGTCGGCTGCATACGTCATTGCGTCGCGCGGAGGACTGTCC